CGTCGTAGAAAGCAGTTACTGCACATGTAACTCTGAGCTAAATGTCTCAGCCTTTTTTATTTGCATTATCAGAAGCAATTGGGCTACATTAACTGCATACCAAATTTGATGGAATCAAGTTGGTTTTGATCATTATAAGCGCAAAAACATTGTAAAGGTTTTGTTTTTTTTAACATTTGTAGAACTAAATGATGTACATTGAAAAATTAAAAGAAACTTGCTAGGCTGAGGCTTTGTATTGCAAATTCTTACAACTTATAAGCTATTTATCAAACAAAACTGGGAAACAAATATCACATCGATAGCAATGTAGATGGTCTCCCTGCACCCATCTGCTGCAACTTAGTTTTCTCTTTGAATGGATCTTCTGGCTTTTTGTAAGTCATTTGTTGATAATGCTGTTTCCTGTGAATTTTAAGGTACTTTGCCACAGGTGTCTCTATTTCAGTGCTCGTAAATGCATCAATGATCATAGAGGTGCTGTCTAAGAGAAGGTTCTTTTTGTGAAAGACCTTATAGTAAGAGCCACGTGATGGAAGAATTCATGGCCATGTGTGGATTCTAGGTAACACAAGTGAGTTCTAAATCAGTGTGGGGTTTTTTCTAGAGCACTATGGTCACTTTTTTTTTCTGTTGACTCCTCTGTGCTCCAAGCAGCAAGTGCTGATAAGAATGATTGCTTACCATACGTAATGGAAAGGCTTTATATTACACTTTAGTTCAGCTGACACTATAGAATGTTCCACAAAGGAGAGAAATATAAAAAATAAGAACAGAAACTGAGGTAAATAAGAAATACCCTGACTGCAGTAATTTAACAGGCTAGTGTTGGTATAAACTATACATTTCTGAGTACTAGCAAAGTGCTGTTTGAAAAGACACATCTTTGGATTCTTTCTTTAAAATAATAATCTTTGAAATAATAAATCTTACTACGTTCACTTTCCAGTCTTTATAAAATTTTTTGACTGCAACAGAGTGAGCTGGAGCTTCAGAATGTGATCATCAGTCTACATTAGCTTGGGCTCAGTGCCACACTTGCAGTCTTACCTTTCATTAATGATCCCATTACAAAACAAAAAATGTACAAGGTCTGTTCTAAAACAACCTTGTCATATTCAGATCTTAATTGGCTAATATTGTTTTCCCTCCATCCGATTTCCTCCCTGGTATCTTATTTGACTCTACTTAAATTACGACCAACTTTTTTCGTAAATGAATGCATGTTTCCCCGTGTTTCTCCCAAAATATTTGGCAGTATCACACTACTGTTCTTGCTGTCCCAGAATCTGCTGTATATTTAGTAAACTGTGAAATTCTGCACTCCTTTAGTTGTATAGAGAACTTCCCTTTAAAATTACCATTTCTAAAGGGGAATAAAGAAAACAAAGTACGTAGTATGGTACATCACTCTTGTAACTATGATGCTAACAATTGATACAGTGACCTTGTTTCTTTTCAGAATTTATGACATTATTATTCCAGCCTTTCATAGAGCTGGTGTTCTGCAAGTAGAGCTGCTTTGAAGCTGCTGCTTTGAGGTGGAAGAAGGTGTTTCAAGCCTGATTCCCAAAGGGACAGGTCATTGAATGATAGGAGTATGATGTGGCAGAAAAAGCCACTGAATTTCAGTCCACTTAAGTCTTTTTAGATCTTTTTAATGCCTATCCATCCTACTTTCAAAAGGAAATACAGAGCACACAAACTGTAAAGTAGCAGCTTGGGATTTTCAAAAAGATTCTGCAAGTATTTTTATGTTAATTTTCTAGTTGTTCAGGTTATAAATAATAGCAGCAGAGACTAGAGAGAGGTAGGCAGTACATTTTCTTTCACCAAAGGAAATATCCTATCTGCCAGTACTCCTTGGCTTGGATGGACTCTAGTCTTCAAGTTGTTATTTTCTGGTATTGGAAGGAAAGCACTTATTGCTGCTTTCAAAAATGTCAAATCCTTAAGTCAGTTCTAATGTCTAGCAGCTTTTACGTTGCTTTTCTTAAAGTGCTTCTCTGCTTTTGTCAAGTGCTGCACTTATTAGTGGATCTTGTCAAGAGTGATACCATGCCACTGTTTGTTGGAGAAATGCAGTCAAATGTCCCATTCAATGCCCTGTATAAGAACCTGAGAATTGGCTCTGTAAATGTGCTGCCTATGAAACTTAACAAAGTGAAGCCTTTTCCATTGCTGTGTTACTGGGCTTAATGATTGCTGTCTAAGTTTCCTATTTTAATAACAACTTGGACTCTAAACATGGTGTATAAGGTGGGTAATTGGATAGCCAAAGTTCATTCAGGAAGTATTATTTGCTTTCTTCAATGGGTCAGTTTGTTATTCATGAGCTGAAAAAGTGCAACGCGTAAAGGAGAATAACTAAATTCATTTCAGGGAATTATTTTAAAGCAAATTATTTTATCTGTTATTAGGAAACCCTCACTTCCCAAAGGAAGAGAAACAATTTTTCATGACTTCCACCCTGAAACTGATGGTGATGGATCTTGCAAAAAAGAAGAATCTGCAAAATTTATTTTGGAGAATGCTGACCTGTAGGTAGCCACAGTGTGCCTACATAATGAGCAGCAGTGTGGATTTACTGGGATACATGTTTTTTTCCATGATATTAAAATGCATTCCCATATTTCAAATAGTGTTTAGAATGGCATTTTGTTTCACACTTAGTTCTAGTTGCAGTGACAGCGCGATCACTGAAGCTCTTATACTGGTTCACCTTGTCTCAATTGGACTTCAATTGGAAGGCTGGTGTTTTCTTAGGATAAATCCTGCCTGAATGGACTCAGCCAGGAGATCTGCCACTAGTAGGGCAGTTATTTGCCCAGAGGATTGAGAGCATTCATTTTATTAATGTACATTGGAGTTAAATTTAGATGTACTTGGGATTCTGTTGCAATTACTGTATTATTTAAGGATCAAACCAAAATTCTGTTCTAACTTGTTTGTCAAAGTTTAAAGTAGGATTTTTGTTCTCATGTAATAATGTATAAAGACAAATGGTGAAGGCTGCAGAAGTGCCTAACTTCAGGAAGGGGCAGGATGTTTGCGTACCATTTGATGCAATCTTGTTTTGTGAAGCAGCCACATAATTGTTTGGTGCTTTTATTTTGAATCTGCAGGTAAACAGAACAAGTGTGTATCAGTGTAAAAGCTTCCTTAAGGGCTTCTAATATACGTTTCAAAGTTCAGATTAAGAAGTATGGTCCAGAGGTAGTTACCAGTCTGAAAATACTCAGCTTAATCTCTTGACTGCAACATGCTGTATTGCTTTCCATTACCTCCTGCTTGGATTTATACACTTATTTTAATACTCAAGAACTTCTGAACAAGAACCTAAACGTCCTGTGAAAGGAGGTTAGGGAACAGAAGTTGTTAAAGCAAAATCTCTAGGATGTTCATTTGATCTCTCTGGATTAGAACTGAATTAAGAGCATACAAATGGTGAATTTTACTTATCCAAGAGTTTATTTTATTCTCAGACAAAATAAATTATTTTTTGTACTGCTAGCAGCATCCTAATGAAACAAAGCGTATTCAACTAGAAATGAAAACAGCACTTTTAAACTGTATTTCCTCTCCTACTTCTAATTTCACAGTATTTTAGCAATCTGCTAAGAGACAGTGTTTCAGATTTTGAATGTCTTGATTTATTTATGCCAAAAATATCCTTGACAGAATGTGCTATTAATACTGTCATCCTAAACTACCATTGTTTCATTACTTTTTTTATTGTTATTTTTATTTTTTAGAGAAGATATGCTCCTTAAGAAGGCAAACTGGATTCTGTGCTAAAGGGACAAAACCTCTGACATTTTTCATGGCTAAGTCTAAATGCAAAAGCTGTTTGGGTACAACTGAGCATCTCTATAGATGCAATCTCCTATTCCCCATTTTAACATGGGTACAATCTCTTAAGTTGCTGTTCTTGAAGTTTTAAAATTGTTACAAAGTACATCACAGTAAAGATATATCTTGTGGCCTGACTGCTAAGTATTGCTTTCATTGTAGTTTTTACACAGCAGATTGGTTTTTATGGAGAGAAGGCTGTTTAGCTCTTGCCAAGAAAAAACAATTGGGAAATGAAAGTATCACTGAAAAAGTAAATCCATCAGTAGTTTGTTGTAAAAGAGATTCAGTATAACTTCCCTACAAACTGCCACTGTATTTGCATAAAACGTTTGTCTAGTCCCTTTTCAAGATTGCTGAGTGCATACTGAAGTGCTTATATGCTAAAATGTTGAGCCACTGAGTTACTTTGATTCCTAAAGGGGATAGAAACTTGAAGAAAATGTGCTGCATCAAATTCACAGAAGTTAAATACATTTAAATAATTGTCTCTTCTAAGCATTCTTAGCTGGCTGTGTTGTGCTTTCTCTCGTACTGTGTGAGTTGGAAAGTATTGTAACGTATTCCTGCACAGTCTTTCAACATTGCAGTTGAAGTTTGTCCCATGTAAATGGACCAACACTCAGTTACTTTTGCATGATAAAAATGTTCACACCCTTCTCTAAAGTTACTTTCAAGTTGATACTATATTGGTCCATTGCTCCATCTTGTTACTACAGAGCAGTGTCTTATCAATGCCTATGTAAAATTAATTTGCTAATAATAAAAGAGAGTAATCTGTAAGCCATCAAAGCTACCTTTTTCCTCAAAAAATATTTTCTTTAGAATTTAGCCAAAAATTTTGCAAAATGTTACTGGTATCATACATCAATAGAAATTATGTCCTCAGTGCACAGCTGTTATCAAGGCAGTTACTCATCTAACAAGCTGTTTACACTAAATGACTTATCTGAGCTTGGAAAAACTAAAATGTTTTGATCAATTTTAAGGCTGAACCTGAAACAGATGCATTAAATCAGCATTAAACCCAGCCCTGCATGGCTGCAATGATTATATCTTTGGGAAGGCTTGCGGACATAAGAAAATCAACACTGGCATTTCTCTGTATGAGTGTTTTGTTTTGTGTCTGGTGATCAATAGCTACTGACCTCCAAATCTGTTACTGCCAACAGGTCTGAGGTTCCTGCTTCAGTTACAACGTGGCTGTGATCCATTTATGTCATTTTTGGAGGAAAACCCATGGCAGTCTGTAGCAAGGAAAAAAACCCAAAAGCACAAGAACTTTAATGTGCAAAAAGATCTCTTGCTAAAATTCAGCTGGGTCCCATTTACAGTTCTTGTTGAGTTGTACATGTGACATGGGTTTGCAGTGTAACAAGATTAGTTTTCCCTATAATCTTAAAATGTCCTCCACTGGACTGCCTTTTCATCTCTCCATGTTCTGGAACTTGGATTAATGGGATTGAAATTTTTTCCATGAGTCCCATTTGATAAACTGCTTTCTGGAATCAATTGCTTACAAACACATTTTATTTGGAAAGAATATTTTAATGGTAGTTGAATTATATATTGTTATACCAAACACACTGCAAGGCTTAAGTACAAACACCGTATGGATGTCAGTAAATAATAATAGACAAGATGAATAAAGCAAGACAGGCCGATTTGTTTCTGAGTGTTTAAAACATCTTGTAGCTTCCTGAGGCACTTAGGAAGGGCCTTGGCAAACTAGCTGATCCATTCACATTGAGTGTAGGCTGGGGAGAAACACCTTCTGTGTGAATTCAGGGCTGGCACAGGGCACGGCCTCACCAGATACGGGTGCTGGGCTCACAGCTCAGGATCGCCACGTGCAGCAGTGGCTGGGTTACAAAGCACAGTTCTTTGCAACCCTTCGCTCTAAGTGGTAAAACGTTTAATGGGAAGTAATTTGCGTATCGAAGGCCACCTAAGCACAAAACAAGTGCTGCTGTGATCGGTCGTTTCCTTTGGCAAGTCGCTGAACATCCCTGAGCCTTGTTTTTTTCTTTCCAAGAAGAAACGAACGAGAATAATTTATAAGATGGATAGATGCCAGAAGCACGGGGTGCGCGCAGCACGCGCCCAACTGACAATCCTGGGCCTCTCCTGCCTTGTAAAGTATTAAAGGCACGGAAGCAAGGCAGACAGGCAGCCTGCTCTCACCTCTCTTCTCGCCGTGAAGATGAGCGGGCACAGCAGCGACCCCCTGCCGGAGGCGCCGGGCCTCGCTGGGCCCCTCGCGCAGCCTCAGCCGCACCGCGAAATGGCGGCCGCCTCCCATTCAGCACAGCCCGCCACAGGCGGCACCAGCGCGGAGGCGCGCACGGAAACCTCAGAGCTGAAAGCACCGCCCGACATGGCTGCGGCTCCCGCCCTCCGCGCGGGCGGGCCGGGGCGGGCCCAGGCGGCGCATAAAGCGCGGTGCGTGCGGCCCCCCGGCCTCTTGCTGCGTCGCTGGGAGGTGAGTGGAGGTGCTGTGCTGTCTGGGAGGGGGGGGGTTGGCTCGCTTAGTTCGGGTGTTGCGCTCTGTTTCTTCATAGCGCGTCCAGCTCTCGGCTGGATGCCTGCCCTGCCGCCTTTTTTCTCCCCCAGTGAAGAGCACCTGGCTTTGCAGCCCCCCTCCCTCGACCTCCGTCCTGTGTCCCTGCGCATCGCTGTGCTGAGTTGCTGTGGCCGCGCAGCCCTGCCCCTCCCGGGCCCTGCTGGTGTAGGTGATGACTGAACTTTTTTCCCCATCAGAGCGACAGTGCCGATTACTCCTCACTCTAGCCAGGTCTTGTCTGATGCACCAGCAGGGAAGCGCTGCGTTATCCCTCATCCTGCGTGAGCTGTGCTCACTGTTCCTTTGTTTTCTTCCCAGGCCCTGTGTGATGGACGGCTGCAGCTGCCCGCCTCGCTCCGCCACGGTGAGGTTCCTAAGTCCTTTAAATATCCGAGTTGTAAGTAACTATGCCAGTTTTAAGGGACTTCCTGGTTTGTTTTTCATGATGTTTTGCCGCATTATTATCTCCAGAGACTAGATGCGAACATTAGGCTAGGTTTTGTAGAGCTGGAAGCAGTTTTGTCCGTGCAGAAGCATTGTAACGTGGGCCTCGTGTTGCTGCGGTTACACGCAAGGTGTCAGGTCTAGGATGCCGATTAACGAGCACCTCGGGTCGGATCGCGGGTTATCGCTGTGTCCTTGGCAGGACGGCGTGGCGCTGGGGCTCGGCCAGCCCGTGCAGACACGTGGAAGCTGCTGTTCGGAGCTGCTGGCGCAAGGGAGCCCATGGGCGGAGCTGTGCCTTCCGCAGGCAGACCGGGCTGGTCCGGCACTTCTCTACTCTGCCGCTTGCTGGCAGGTATGCGGTAGTGCTCACGGGATGGGGCGTGCGGTGTCCGTGGCCATTTCCTGTGTCCTAGGGTTTGGCGACTGCCCGGCATTCACAGCTGCATGTGCAGCCTTCTGCCCTTGCATTGTTTGGGCAGAAATGTCTCGTGGCCGTAGAGGTTGTACTGCAGAAGTGTAAAAGCTGTTATCTCTGGCTGCCCTTCTGTGTTCACTTTGCGTTAGCTGTCTTGCGCTGTACTGCAGAAGCCTGTTTTATCACTTTTTGGTGCACTCATTGCTTCCCTTGTGCCATGAGCCTGTTGAGCAGGCAAATCAGCTAGCTCTTTCTGGGGAAGGATTCGTGTAAGTCTATGCAGACTCTGTGGATGCACCTAGGATGGGAGTATGGCTGTGTCACTCTTGGGACCTGCTGGTGTAGGTGATGACTGAACTTTTTTCCCCATCAGAGCGACAGTGTTGATTACTCATCACTCTAGCCAGATCTTGTCTGATACACCAGCAGAAAAGAGCTGCTGTATTCCACAGCCTTGTGTGGCTCGATGCTAAATGTTCCTTTGGTTTTACTCCTAGGCCTCTATGAAGGCAGAAAGGCATTGGGCCTGCTGGAGACCTGATGAGATGGCTATAGCCAGCAGTGGATCAGCTGTGTGATGAAGGCAGCTGTCCTGGCTTGCACCACTGCGTATGAACCTTGAACAGGTAAGAATAGCAAGTTTGTAAGGCTTCTGTTGTTGATTTGTTTTACTAATCAAACAAACAAACCTTAGTTAAAAAAAAAAAAAAGGGTCTTCCAAAATGTTTTGTCAAATTATTATCTTTGAAGACTTCCTTTATATAACTTGTAATACATAGCCCAATGCTCAGAGATGAAAGTACATAGGGTTTACTTGTGCAGAAGCATTGCAACAGGAGCCTTTGTGCCTCATGTCACTCACGTTCCATCATGCCAAAAGTGGCAGGTGTGACTAGTGATCAGAAAGCAGTGTAGCAAGGGATTATTAACTTTGTACCAGCAGGCTTAGCTGGAGCAGACTGGTAGGTGTATGGCTGCGTCCCATTTTTTTTTTTTTTTTTTTTTTTTTTTTAGATAAATTGTGCTCATAGAACTCATTGTAAAGTCATTCTGCCTGGAGACATGGAGGTAGTCTGCTCAGAGCAGCTGCTGTAGTATGCCATGGGCACCGTCCTGACATGGGGTCCCTTAGGAAGAGAGGCTGTTGAGTTTGAGGTTTGAGTGCTAGCCAGCTTGAGGAAGTGTCGAGGGGGTTTTAAATTAGTGTTCAGTGGGCTGTATGCATGCATGGCTTTACTGCTTCTGCCATTAGTTCACCATTCTCTGAACCTGTCACAGTAAGTGAGAGCATTGCATGGCTAATGTGGGTGGCTATGTACCTCCTTGGACCTGCTGGTGTAGGTGATGACTGAACTTTTTTCCCCATCAGAGCGACAGTGTTGAGTACTCGTCACTCTAGCCAGATCTTGTCTGATGCACCAGCAGGAAAAAGCTGTCGTGTCCCACAGCTTCATGGGGTTCAATGCTAACAGATCTTTGGTTTTCACTCCTAGGCCTCTGTGAAGGCAGAGAGATGTTGGGCCTGCTGGAGATCTGATGAGATGGCTGTAGCCTGCAGTGGATCAGTTGTGTGACAACTGCAGTTGCCCTTGGCTTTCTCTGCTTTGCATTTCCACTTTTGATAGAGGAGCAAAGGTAAGTTGTTTCCCTGGAGAGTTGATAAATAGGTAGACTTGAGTATTGTAGCATGAACCCTCTGTGCATTACCTTTGTCCCCTTACAGCATGTTTGAGGTAGCAAGTGAGGCAGTGAGCAGGGTACACGCTGCAGGTAGACAGTAAGCTGGAAGCAGTGGTGACGAAAACACTTTTTACTAGTTTACCTGAGAATTTACACCTGTTAAAATATTGTTGATTTCTAGTATCATTTTTGTGCAGGGTGTAGTGCCCTCTTGGTTATTATGGACCTGGAGGCTTTTTTTTAAAATTTGTCTCAACATTAAGCTGAAGAGCATCTGTCATTCTGTGGTATATGATGACTTCAGACTTTTTTCCCCATCAGATCGGCAATGCTGATACAAACTTACATTTAAGCCAGATTTGTCTGATTCCACAGATGGCAAGATTCTTCAGTTTGTCATTTGGTTCTGTATTGAGGCTTCATGCCTATAGGCAGGGAATTTGTGTGTGCTGCATGCTCAAGAGGGCAAACAGAACTGGAGGGTGCTGTCTGTGCATATCTTAGTAATACTGATTGCATTACATTATTTGACATGCATAAAGTCTAAGAGACTGAAAGTGAAAGGATTTTGGCTTTCAGAAGATTGCCAGTAACAGAAATGGCAGAGAGCTTTGACAAGTTTAAATTTAACTTTATTAAGTTATTAATAAGTTATTAATAAGTTATAAAGTTATATATAATAATTATAGTTATATAAGTTATATATAATATATATATATATAATATAAGTTATATATAATAAGTTATAAGTTATTAATAAGTAAGTATTAATAAGTTATTAATAAGTAAGTTTATTAAGGGCATAAACATAGATTTTTTTTTTTCATTTTGTCTCTTTTCAGTAGTGTTAAAATGAAGTGCTGCATATGAAGTTAGAGAACCTTTGTTGTGGATTTATTTTACTTGTGAATGAGATATTCTCCATGCCTTATAAGTGGATAAATGTCAACTTTCAGCAAATTTCTGTTGTGCAGAGAGAGATTGCTTTTGGTGTTTTTTTTTTTTCTTCCTTTGCTTCTGTAAGGGATCATATGTGCATAAGAGAATTTTGCTTCATTGAGTAAACACTTGCTGCTGGCTTCATTCAGCTGCAGCCTGATCTCGCTGTTTGCGTAACCCATGTTCAGCTGTTCCAGCTCTGAGGGAGACTGAAGTCTCCTCAATAGCCTGTAACTGGAGAGCACAAATGTGACCTTTCTGTAAAGCACACTAGAATTCTAAAGGAGTATGAGTGATCTGTGTCAGATGGCAGAGCTGATCAAATTAGTACTCTGGCACCCTCTGCTCAGTTAGTTCCCCAGACTTTTATCAAATACTATGAAATTCCCCCAATTTTTTTTCTAAGAGTGTGTCCTATTTGGAGTGCCTGGCAGTACAGCAGTCACAATGACTGCAGAACAATCCTTACCATCTTAAAGAATTTTAGGGGTGAGATTTTAAAGTTGTATTTTTGCTGTTTGATGTGGGGTGAACTGACATGATGTTGGATATTTTCTTGACAGGTTGAGTAGATCTCTCAGAAGGCTTCAGGATTTGCTGTTATTTCAAAGAACTAGGTGAAGGCTATCTTCTGCTAATGATGTTTCTCTCCATGCTGCTGCCTGTGATCCTTGTACACACTACAACATCCATATCACTGAAACAACTTCTGTGTCTTTTCTCTTGGTCTTGCCAACTCACAGATGGCAGGTGTTGTGTTTTTTGCCTTCATATGATGTATTTAATCATAATGGATTCTGGAATTTGCTGCATGTTCTACGTAACTGGATGATTTTTGTCTGCAAGGGCTGTATTCACCAGCTGACAACTAATGTTGCTTGACATTAAAAGAAGCCTGAAAAAGCTGTTGTCATATATGATGGTCTTGTGTACAAGGAGAGTTTTTTTAATAAATCTGAGTACAGTATGAACTCAACTGTTGAATGAAATTGTCTTCCATATCTTTAACAGCCAATTTCTGTATGCCCTAGTTGTTGGTTTCTGGAGTCAGGTGGTGATAGTGTATCTCTGGGGTGACTCTCCATTGAACTGTTTCTGCCTCAGTTAAGGAGAAAGGGTCATGGTCTCATGGCAAGATAGCTAATCCTCACATACTCTAAAGAAGAAGGTGCTGAACTGAGATTTGTAGCTGCTGACATTCCCTAGGAAACTATAGTGCGCTGGAAGTAGCTGGCCTAAAAAGATGTAGGATATCATGTTCCAGGTAAGTAGGTCACAGTAACTTTGCAAAATCTTCCATATATGATTCTTTCAGAGAGATAACAGCAATTAGGAAGGAAGTGAAACAGGTACCAGCTTCTGTAAAGATTTGGTCATCTCCCTTGGGCAGTGTGATCAGCTACAGAAATGTCTACCGCTGGTTATAGACTATTGGCAGATGTTGATTCAGCTCCTGCAGCCTTCCCCTGGATGCTTTTTGGCAGCCTTCCTGATATGCAGAGGAGGAGAATTAATTATCTATGTGCTGAAGTAGGGGAACACTGAACAAGATGGTTTCCCTAAAACCAGAGAAGTAGTTGGAGCCCTAGAGAATGTTGCTTCTTGTACCTCTGGACGTCTAGTGGCTCTGTGAAATACACACACCTGGTCTCAATGTGAGCAAAACATTTTGTCAGTGAATTTGCACTGTGCAGTGTCCACTTGAGGCTGAATAGTGGTAAGTCTGCCTTCTGCGTGAAGGTGTTCTCCATCTGTTAGGAGCATTAGCCTGGCAATCAAACGGTGTCTCCATAGTGCATAGTCAAACAGACCTTGGCAGATGGCTCATACAGGTCCTGGTCTGGTAGCATTTGTATAGCCCATTAGCAATGCAAATGAAGTAAAACAGCCTCTTGAATTCAAGCTGCTGTGGAAAGCTGGGACTTGTATTAACTGAGTGTCTCGAACAACACAAGTTGAGATTGAAACCCTAGGCCTAGTGATGGAAGTAGTCACTTACTGTTGAGTGGTCAGTGCTGCCGTTGAGAAGCAGCACACTAGTTAGTGCGTTCATTAGGAATGCATTTTCAAACCAACCCTGCAGCCTCATTAGTTTCCTGAGGAGCAGGGCCCCTGTCTGTGTGTTGCTAGTCCTGGGCTAGCTCTCATGGGTCCTGCATGCTGCCTGAAGCAACTGGGTACTTATGCCCTACAGACAGCTAGCTAGCCCAGCAGCCACAATTCTTGAAGCACCTGAAGGACAAAAATGAGAAGTGAGTGGATAACAGGCTAAGGAAATATGCAGCAGGAAATAATTCCTTAAATTTTAAGTAAGTGCTATTTTTACTGCTTGATAGCAATGTCTTTATTAATACTTAATAGCTTGGTAGTTACTTACAGCCCCTAGAATCTCTGCAGGGCGTTTCCATTTCTTATAACTGTAAATAACAGTTTCAGTCATTGTAGGAGGGGATTTGATATTTGAACTGACAGTGCTCTTGAGCATGTATGTCCAATAGGATACAGTGATGATGGAAAATTATTAATCAGCATGTAAAAAGGAGTCTTCCTTTAAGCTGGGTAGAGATTTTTCTCAATAACTATGAACAGCATAATCTCTTGAAGGAATGTACTGATGAGGGGTCAGGGCTGCTAATCAAACTTAATCTAATGATAGTATCTACCAGCAAGCTTTCTATGGACTGTGGAGTAGAGACTGCTAGTCGTCCAACAGGACAGGTGTATCTTGAAAAGTCCTTTGTGTGTTTTTATCTCTTGCCAAGAAATCAGGTTAGGATTGAACTTCTGGTGCTACTCACATATGTGCAGGGATGAATGATAGCACTGAAGATGGCTGATCTGTAAGCAATTTGCGAGCATTCCAGGGTGGGTGCAGGCTGGTGATCTGGAGGAACTGAACTGCATGCAGTGAACTGGGCTCAGGGATCTGACCTGGCAGCTGCAGAGGGTGCTGTGTGTGTACCTCTCCCAAAGCTTAGTTAAGGTCCAAACAGACAGGTTTTACTCATCAACTGCTCATTTGTGTGTGTTTATAGTTGGGATGCTTTCACTTTGTCACTATAGTAGTTTGCTGTAGTAACAGTGGACCAGTGTTTGAGATTTGTCTGTGTGAACAATTAGTTTGGCAGTGGAGAGAAATTCTGAAAGTCATACGCAAGTAAATCTGAAGTTGTCAAAGGCTTTTATATTTGGAAGGGTTAAAGGTGGTCTTCTATACTGACAGGCTTTTGTTTCAAAGCTTTTTTTTTCTGGTGTTGTTTCTAATGTGCCTGCAAACAGCAGGGCACCACAGGTACTGTTTCATTATACATCTGCTGCCATAATCTTTCTGGAACTGATTTGGTTCTAGCAGGCCTTCCCTGGCACTCCTTCCAGACCTGTGCTCCAAATCCCCATCCCTATGAGGAGAGGCTGAGTGTGGTTGTAGCAGCTCTGAGCACTGTGCTGTGCTCTGAGCTCAGGTGATTTCCCCATGTGTAACAGCAAGCTATTCAAAAACTTGAGCTGCAATGGGCTTTGTAGTACTACAGCTTACAACTGTGCTGTGAATTAAGCTTCCCTGGTAATAGAGAAACCTTGAAATAAACTTCATTGGCTCTATCAATGCAGGTAAAATCAGCCCATTTGAAAATCTCTCAATATAGCCCCTTTGTTAAAAGATGGGAGATTTACACTGAATTTAAAAGCAATTTTCACCTGGCATTTGTTGCCCCAGTGTTGCCTGACTTCTGCTGACGCTGGTCACCCCTGACTGCGATAGCTGGGTGTTTTGAACGAAGTAATGAAGGCAAGAAGGAGTGTTTTGGACAAAGGCTGACTGAGAGCCTGTTCTGATTGTATCTCTTCACAGAGAGCTCCCTGCCATCTCTAAGAGACAAGCAAAGGAAAATCACAGTGTGTCCTGGGCTCTTATTCTGCTGCTGTGAAGTGGTTGAAGAGAGCAGTGAGGACAAAGACAGGATTTGTCAGCTCCATCAATTACAACAGAAACAGGCAATTGTTGTATTGAATATACTTGGGTAACTTTCTAAAACTGAAATCTGCAGTCTGACTAGGCTGATATGTTTAAGCAAATGTTTACTTTTCTGAAGCAGCTCTGTTTCTTGGTGCCATGAGCATTTGAGAGGAAAATAGCACAGATTATTGCTCTAGATGTTGCTTTTAATAGCTGTGTTTTCATACACAGTGAGAGGTTTCACATTTGTATTCTCTAAGATTCAGAAATGTTTTTTTGACTGCGTGTGGATTGTTTAACTTTTTTAGACCCATCTGTTAGGTGGGTGCACTAGCTTATGGGATAGCACAGTCCTTTTACTCATTGCTGCTTCTACTGTTTGTATTGTTGTCTCTGCCTTAACCTCTGTTCATCAGTAGATAAAATTACTAAATTATCAGCTGTGTTAACAGGCTAGACACTATTGTGGACAGCAATGAAGTAAAACTTGGTTTTGTAATTGTTCTAGGAACATACAGATTTAGGGACGCTCAAGCTGTCCTACAGACAGGGAAAAAATATTTTTTGTTGAAGCAGGGGGTATCTTTCTATAACAGCTTATCTTTAAATGTTATGCAGTTAGAACCTTTCCTGTTCCACCCTTTTTGCCACTTCCCTTGAAGCAGTGAGGCGAAGTCTGCCATCTCAGTGCAACCCAGGCTTGTTTTGGCACTGTGGGATCTGCTGGCACAACATTGCCAGCTCAATATTGAAGATGATAGATAAAGTACTTTGTGCTAGACATGGTGTAAATTAGGAGCAGTTCCATTACGTTCTCTAGGATCATTTGTAAGTTCATGGAAATATGTTCAGGACTGGTTCTGAGTTGCCTGAGATCTGCTTGATTTCTTTAACATTGTATTTAGAAAGCATCCACTGGAGAGTCTGCACTTCTTTGGTGCCTGTCGCTTGCTGTTTGATTTTGCATGCTGTGGCAGGGTCACCTTGAAGTCTTCCCTCTAGTGCTGAGAATAAGCTTGACTTCTGTAGCCTTTTCTCAAACCAGATATTAAAGCCAAGTGTTGTCCTCATTTCTCTACACACGCTCCTTTGGGTAACCTTCCTCAGCAAGGATGTCCGGGGTAAGAAAGACTAGCAGATGTGATCTCAGCATTGACTATACAAAGAAGTAAGATACGTTGTTCATTTCCAGGTGATAAGCATTCCTCTAGCAGGCTCATCTAGTGCTTGAGTGTGGTAGGTAAGCAGATGCAGTCCCACATGGTTCTGCTTGCCCAGATGAATTCCCTGAAGCTCGTTCCTGAAAGTTGCTCTCCAAAGGTAGTGCAGTGCATCAGCACCCAGGGGTTGGCCTGGGGTAAGTCATGCTTTCTGCTCCACATGTGCTTGTATTTCCCACTGTGGGTGGCCTCAAATGTGTTCAGCAGCTTACTGCTTCTGGTTCAGAGCTGATCTGTAATAGGAAGGGTGAGACTTTTGATCCTCCCACATATGCTGGAATGCTTGCACATCAGTCCAGGATAGAGCCTGGCCCTTAGGAAGCATCGAACCTGGATACCATTTCTCAGAAGAAACACTGTAGTCTACCTCTGTCTTTGTTTAATAACTGTATGTGCACTTCCACTGTGCTGCACATCTGTAATGGTTGTAGACATTGCCCTACTCATGAGCTGCTATCTCATGCTTCTGGTCGCAAATCCTCAGCAGGCTCATGGGAGTGTTGCTCTTGCTGTTACACTGTCTTAGTCTTCATTCATGTTCTTAAGAATTTTGTCTACCAAGAAGAGAGAAAAACATTTTATTCTCCTGAGATAAGATCTGTTTTGAGAGCAAATCCATTTTCTTATACATGTGGGTCTGGCCCTTCACAACAACAGTTCAGAGAAGACTTTTCCTTTGAGCATTCACTGATGGTGTTTTACAGCAGAATATTTGTAGGTACAATTTTCTTGGAAATTTGCAGAGGAGGACTGGAATTGTCCGAGAAGTTCTGTTAATCAGCAATTTATGTTGCTGTGGAA